CTGATCCCCCAAAATCCATATGCTATGGATGCTATCATTATTTCAAATTTACATATGAGAAATTTACATAGGGGGAAACTGAGAGGGTGAAATAATCTCCCCTAGCTAATAAAGGGCAGAACCGGCACTTGAACCCTGTGGGGTGTGGTTCCCGGGTCTGCTAGTTGTGGGAAAACATTTCTAGGTGTGAGTTAGACACACCAAAACCATGCTCCCCTTTCCAGGATCCTCTCTCCCCCCATCCTTTATTCTTCCAGGTGGCCCATAGCCTGCTTACTTAACTCTTTTCTCTACTTTTCCTAAATTAGTTATTGGAAGTTGTGAGAACAATCAGTTGCTCTTTATTTTCAGCAGCCTTTTCCTCCCTCTGTTTTAGAAATCACTTGGAACCACACAATAAGGTTACAAGGCATGACTATTTGAGGAACGTCTGCTTCTCTGTCTCTCTGTCTCTGTCTGTCTCTCTGTCTCTCTCTCTCTCCCCTCATCCCCTTCCACCCTCCTTTCTACTTTTCCTCTTTCCCTAACTCCCTCCCTCATTTTTTCCCCTTTCTCTCCATCATTTCCTCCCTTTCCTCCTTCCTCTTTATCTCTTTCCTGCTCTCCCTCTAGTAATAATTTTAGAAAAAAATACACAAGACTTGGAGTTCTTATTTGTGAATCAACATTCAAATGATCTTTGAAGTCTGCTGCTATAAGCAACTCACACCACAGAGCTGCCCTATCTCTGCTGGTGCTTTTCCTTTTTCTACTTGAGCAGACCAGCACAATCCACCTTATAGTTATAGAGCTTTGTGATTTAACATTTTAATATTTAAAAAGGAGAAAGTTAGGCTTAGTACTTTTTGGGGTATTTTCATATTTGTGTACAAGTCCACCTATGCCAACACAAGATTGGTAGAGTAACAGCTGAACATCCTGAAGCGTGCACTGAGCATTATAGGTACATACTACCTGACAAGAAAACCCTTTACTTGATCAGCTCTTTGCATCCTACTTCTGCTTTGTCTTCACTGGGTATAAGCATACTTGATGTTTCTGAGTTCGAAGTGGCTTAGTTGTGCTCATGAACGCTCATTTAACGCTCTCTGAAAAGTGAACTGTACTTTGAGAGCATGATGAAGGAAAAGACCATGAAACCAGGGATGGCTTATAAATATAACAAGACACACAGGAGATAGGTCACAAAACTGGATATTTAGAAAATGCCTAAACTTAGAAGTGTGCTGCATAGCATCTTTTTCCTTCTCTTAATCAACAGATACTAATCACTTGACAGACATTTTGCACACTTTTATATTTGCTTTGAGAAGGTTAAAATGACTAAAGTTAAAATGACTGCCCCACCACCACTTTAAAAAAAGAACATGGCATGACATGACACTGTGAGACAAGGGAACAAAGTGTGATTTTTTTAACACATCCAGCTAACTGGAGATGGAATTAATGGGGGTAAAACCTTATTGTAACTAGCTTTTGCCAGGAAATTCAAGGGAAAAGTAGTTTTAAAACATTAATCATTAAAAATCATGGCAAAAATGTAATAAGGTATTTTATTAAAGATTTGAACTCTTAGTATGTGGAGATAAATGCAATTTCATGAGTTTGGTCTCTTGTTAACATTTTAATCTTTATCATTATTATTAGTATCTATTAAACAGATACTATTGGTATCTGTTTTCCATAGAAAAGTTTATGACATTGCAGGAGACATTACAAGGAACACTGTTTTTTTTAAAAGACCAGAGTCATGACGATTTTATTCATAACAGCAAAAAGCTGGAAACAACCCAAATGCCCATCAGCTGCACAATGAATACACATTAATATTGTATATTCATGAAATGGAATACTCCACAGTTTAAAAAAAACCTGCTAGGTATAACAATATGGATAAATCATACTATCCTACTGATGAAAAAGGGAAACAAAAATTTACATACTGTGTGAACCGGTTTATGAAGTTCAAGTACAGGCAAAATCTATACTGATGAATGTTCTGTGGGTTTCAAGTTGTTGCTGTTTAGAAATCAGCAACTAGTTTAATTGCCTTTTTTTTTTTTTGGTAAGTGACCTATCTATTTTCTCTGGCTACCTTTAAGATTTTGTGGGTTTGTTTTTTTTTTTCCTGTGGTTTTACTGTGATTTTTTTAAAAAAAGTTATCCAGTTTATAATTCACTGGGCTTATTGCATCTAAAGATTGATATCTTTTAAATAGAAGAAGATACAAAGAAATGGAAAGACATCCCCTGCTCATGGATTGAAAGAATAAACATTAAAATGGCCATCCTACCAAAAGCAATATACAGATTCAATCCTATTCCAATAAAAATTTCAATGTCATTCTTCAAAGAAATAGAACAATTATTGATGAAATTCATATGGAATCACCAAAAACCCTGAATAGCCAAAGCTCTCCTGAAAAAAAAAAGAAGGGAATGGAGGCATCACACTCCCAGACTTCAAACTATACTACAAAGCCATAATCATCAAAACTGCATGGTATTGGAACAAGAACAGACACACAGACCAATGGAATCGAATAGAAAATCCAGAAATAAACCCACAGATTTATGGTCAACTAATCTTTGACAAAGGAGCCAAAGAATATGCATTGGAGCATAGAAAGTTTGTTCAATAAATGGTGCTGGGAAAACTGGGTCGCTGCATGCAAAAGAATGAAGCTTGACTACTACCTAACACCATGCACAAAAACCAACTCAAAATGGATTAAAGAACTAGACATAATACCTGAAACTATAAAATAAATGGAAATATAGGCAAAACACTACATGACATTTACCTCAGTAACATCTTTAAACACACATCACCCAAAGCAGTAATAGTGAAGGCAAAGATAAACAGCTGGGACTACATCAAATTAAAGAGCTTCTGCACAGCAAAAGAGACAGTAACAAAAACAAAGAGAAATCCCACCGACTGGGAGAACATTTTTGCACACAACACCAATGATAAAGGACTGATCACAAAAATCTACAAAGAGCTGATGAGACTCAACAAAAACAAAGAAAATAATCCAGTCAAAAAATGGGCAGAAGAGCTAAAAAGAAACTTCTCTGAAGAGGAAATGCAAATGGCGAACAGGCATATGAAAAAATGTTCAACATCACTTGTAATCAGGGAAATGCAAATCAAAACTACAGTGAGATACCATCTTACCCCAGTGAGGAATGGCACATATTAAAAAAACTAGCAACAACAAATGTTGGCGAGGATGTGGAGAAAAAGGAACTCTCCTGCACTGTTGGTGGGAGTACAAACTGGTCCAACCACTATGGAGAGCTGTGTGGAGATTTCTTGACCTACTAAACACAGAGCTTCCATATGATCCAGCAATTTCACTCCTAAGTATTTACCCAAAGGACACAGAAACATTAATTAAAAAGGGCACCTGCACCCCTATGTTTATAGCAGCACTATTTACAATAGCCAATCTATAGAAACAACCCAAATGCCCAAAAATAGATGACTGGATCAAGAAGATGTGGTACATATATACCATGGAATATTACTCAGCAATCAAAAAAGATAAACATGCAATTTGCAGCAACATGGATGGAGCTGGAAGGGATCATGCTCAGCAAAATAAGTCAGAAAGAAAAAGAAAAATACCGGATGGTCTCACTCATAGCAGTAATCTAGAAAACTTAAATAAGGGACCAGGAAAAAGAATAACTATAAGAAAGAAAATATCAAAATCAACAAACAACTATGAACCATAGACACTCTGTGGGGTGTGGGGGGCAGGGAAAGGAGGGCTTGGGGTCAAAATAAGGGGGTTGTAATTATAAGGGGAATATAAAAATAAAATTTAAATAATAAAAAAATTGATATCTTTCAACAAATCTGAAAAATTCTATCTCTGAACAATGTTTGTCCTCCTGTTATTTTCTTCTGGAATTCAAATCAGATACATGCTAAACCTTCCCACTTTATTCCCGTTGCTGCTTAACCTCCCTTTCACATTTGTCACCCAACTTCTCTACAGATTTAGTAATTGCTTAGCATTTATCCTCTTTTCACTGTTTTCTCCTCATCAACTGTGTTTGATTTGCTATAAAGGCAGCTCATTGAGTTTCCAATTTTAATTATTATATTCACCTTAAACATGTTAAATGAGTTATTTTGTGTCTGATATTATCTGAAGTATTTGGAATTGTGTTTCTGTTTTGTGTTGTTTCCGGTGAATTTCACCCATCATATCTTCTTTCCTTGAGTGCTTTGAGGATTTCGCCTAATTTTATGGACAAGTTACCTGTGTAGGAATTCTATGAGGCCTAATTTGACATTGAGTTCCTCCAGAAAGGATTTATCCTTGCTTCTCAGAGTAACCAACCCCGGACCATTTTAAATTAAAATTTCAGCCTGAATTTTTCTATACCAGGTAGAATGAACTTAAATTGCTATCTTGTGCTTACAAATTCTCAAGGAGTTAAGGGATATTTATTTTCCACACCTCCAGTTCAAAGTGGAGACAACTTTTCTGTTACCTTCTCACTTATCCTTACCTAGTATATCCCAGATAATTACCGGTTTCCTGGTGGATTCCCCTCTGTGTCGGTTCTACACTTTATCTTGTCTTAATGTTATGCAGTTATTAAAGCAGAAACCCAGCATCTACAGTTTGGTCACACAATTTCATGGCTTAAGTGGGACTTGGTATTAAACTACCACCAGGATGCCTGTTTTTACTTTCTAGGGACCCTGTACATTCTTTAATTTGCTGCCAGCTCAGTAATGCCTTTAAATTAATGAGTGTTTTTTCAACATTTAACCTAGTGTTTTCGCTTTTGGTCAGGAGGATCGCTCAGGTTATTTTACCAACCATACTTCTGGAAACAGAAGCTCAAAAGCCTACTCTATAGAGATTGATTATTTTCTGCTATGTGCTAAGCTCTTTTCACAGTGTTAATTTAATCATCACATAGTTCTATGAGCTATACACAAGTTACTATTATAAGAAATTATTCTTTCTTACCTGGCATTATGACTTAAATAGGCAGGTGACTGAGACTTATTTGGGGGAATGTTTGAGTGGTAGAAAACTTCTGTGATATTAAAATTACATCTTCACGTTTTAAATCAGTCCAAACATTCTTCACTGTTTCCATTGTTGGACCAGTGGGAAGCTTGGAATGGGTTTTATAATGCAATCATTCTTCCAAATGCATAACATGGCACCAATCCGAGACCTGTAACCATCTCCAAAATGAGCAGAATGAATCTAATCTCTCTCAGCCTGGTCTGTGGGAAAATGATTTGTTCATTTGTAGCGATGGATAAAGACCATTAAAGTTATAGTTCAAGTTTGTTCTGTAAATCCCTTTCTTTTCCTCCTGCACTTTATTTTCTACTTTTCTCCATAATTTATCATATTTTTATAAAAGTCATTGACTTAGAAATTCCATTTAATAATCAATAACATTCATAAGACAGAACCTTACATCCCAGGTAGTTATTTTCCAGAATTAGAATTTTCTCTTTTCTAAGGATTCTGTTTCTAAGCAGTTATTCTATAGTTTTAAATTCTGGAAGACGATAGATTAGGAAAAATGAGAAAAATAAATATTTATAAAAATTCCCTTTAAATGGGAAATGCTCAAGACATAATGCTAATAGTGTTACTTTAAAATATATTTTTCGTTTTTAATTTTTCTGGAATTCATTATCATCACATTTTTTATAACCTATGTTTTTGTCTCCTCTCTCACACCATTGCTGCCTCACCCCTGAAATCACCACTATCCTGCTTATCCTTCCATTGATTTTTTTAGTTTCTAGTTTCATCAAGTGTGTTTGTATGTTTGAACAATACATTGTTTATTTTCATCTATTGTTGAACTTTATAAAAAAGATACTTCGCTTTCTAAGATTTGTTGTTCATTCAGCAGTGTTATGAAGATTAATGAAGTTACTGTGTGTAACACTTATTTTCTCTACAGTATAATATTCTGTTGGTTGAAAATGCTAGTTTATTTCTATTCTCTTGACAATGACCTTTAGTATTGTTTCTAGTTATTTTTTGCTATTGTGAGCAGTAGTGCTAAGTACTTTCTTATATATGTCTCGGACATATATATATGCAAGAGTTTTAGGGGGTTCTTAATGTAGGGGTAGAGTCATTGAACTATGAAATGTGTAGTCAAATGTTTCCAAGCGGTTTCACCCATTTCTATTCTAAACTTCAGTGTGTAAGATACACAATAATGTAAACTTTAGTGTGTAAGATACACAATCTTACAATAATGTAACATATATTATTTTTGCCACTTTATGAGCAGCGCTTCATATGCTTACTGGCCAGATATATTACTTCATGAAGTGCCTGTTCATGTCTTTTGCTCAATTTCTATTGTTTTTTTTCTATTTTATATGCCTTTAGAAGATTTTTAATATATTCTTCATAAGAACCTGCTATTGTGTGTAACAAAATCAGTACTTTAGACTGTTTGTCTTTTTACTTATTTTAAGCCTAATCTTCAATAAGCAAAAAATTTCCCCTAATATGTGAACATTTACTCAACAAATAGTGGAAATCGTGGGCATTTATTTTGTGCCAACTGCCGCTCTAAGTCAGGGACATCACTATGAACACAACAAAGCTTTGTGTTGTGGAATTGACTTTCTGGTACACTTATTCTTGCCTTTTACACCCAATAACTTGTGGAAACTTCAAAGCTATTTAGTTTTTGTCTACATTAAAACTCACCTTTGCCTTTCCGAAGATAGGAGGCTTTTTCTGATTTTAGGGGGGCCAAAGGGCAGGACTAGCACATATAGTCATAGAGTGCTGTCACAGGCTCTTCCTTTGAGTGGCATTCACATTTCAATGTACTGATGGATCCTGCATTCTGTTGAATAGCTTACCCAAGAATGTAATGAACTGTGTTACAATGAGATCATGTTATCTGTAATGCTTCTTGGGCAGTGCTCAAAGAAAACAAGTACTCTTTGAAAATTTCAGCCTAATATTCTTCATATTGCTTCAGTGTTCTTCTTCTGAAAATTCCCTAACTGAAGAAGTCTCATTGAACATCTTCATTGTAGCACATCCACAGATGAAACCTTTGATCTCTATGGGGCCCTCATGTCTCCCTTGTATATGTGTATATGTGCATGCAAATGTGGGAAAATTATGACAAACTCTGAGGCTGGTAGACTAGGAAGCTTAGCTTTTCTTTTCCTATTTAGAAATGATCACCAAGCTATTCTGTAGAGAAAATGTCTTCTTAACTTTTGCCATCTAAATATCTGCCCTTAGGAATAAAAGATAATGCTTCTGTAGTAGCTGAGAATGTCAGTGAATTTTCCACATTTGACTTAATTCACCAGCAGTCCAGAAGTAAATAGGATTGACTTTCTTATGAGTGAGAATTGTATGCTACTCCAGCTACTGCTATTTGTGTAATTGAACATTTCCCTGTATTGTAAGTATTCACTCTTTTTATCTTTACAACTATCTTAAGAGGTAGCTGTTTGTAATCTTAAAATGGGAAGGATGACCCACTTTCTCCTACCTTCTGTCTGTTAAGGATCATCATTTTACCGTCCTCCTGACAGCTAACCCCTTGAATTCAGACTGTGAACTTTTAGAGACAGGGAACTTTGGCATATGTAGAAGTCTGCGGATGGGGTAAGTGATGGCATCACTGGCAGGACTCTGCTTGTGGCAGCTTACCAGATGCCATTGAATTGTTAGGTGCACTCTTAGGACAGGAAGGGGCCCTGACTCCAGACTCTTTCATCCCACTTTCCCCAAGATAAAAAGGATGTCATTGACTCTGTGTGTGTATGTGTTTGTGTGTGTGTGGGTGTACACATGAACGCATGTGTGCATACATGCGCACTTGAGCATATGCATTGTAAGGTCAGGATTGGACACTGCAGGTTTTCTGATCCCATGCAGACCGGGTAAAGGAGGAGTCAGAGTCCTCAGTGGCTTTTGCAGGTTTTTTTTTTTTTTTTATTTTATTTTATTTTTTTTTTAATAAATTTTATTGTTATATTCCCCATACAATTGCAGCCCCCCCATTCTGACCCCAATCCCTCCCCTCCCACCCCCCTAAAAGTGTCTCTGGTTCATAGTTTTTTGTTGATTTTGATTTTCACTTTCTTATAGTTATTCATTTTCCTGGTCCCTTATTTAAGTTTTCTAGATTCCTGCTATGAGTGAGACCATCCGGTATTTTTCTTTTTCTTTTTGGCTTATTTCGCTGAGCATGATCCCTTCCAGCGCCATCCATGTTGCTGCAAATTGCATGTGTTTATCTTTTTTGAATGCTGAGTAATATTCCATGGTATATATGTACCACATCTTCTTGATCCAGTCATCTATTTTTGGGCATTTGGGTTGTTTCCAAAGCTTAGCTATTGTAAACAGTGCTGCTATAAACATAGGGGTGCAGGTGTTCTTTGGAATTGATGTTTCTGTGTCCTTTGGGTAAATACCTAGGAGTGGAATTGCTGGATCATATGGAAGCTCTATGTTTAGTAGGTCCAGAAATCTCCATACAGCTTTCCACAGTGGTTGGACCAGTTTGCACTCCCACCAACAGTGCAGAAGAGTTCCTTTTTCTCCACATCCTCGCCAACATTTCTTGTTGCTAGTTTTTTTAATATGTGCCATTCTCACTGGTGTAAGATGGTATCTCATGGTAGTTTTGATTTGCATTTCCCTGATGACAAGTGATGTTGAACATTTTTTCATATGCCTGTTGGCCATTTGCATTTCCTCTTCAGAGAAGTTTCTTTTAAGCTCTTCTGCCCATTTTTTGACTGGATTATTTTCTTTGTTGTTGTTGAGTCTCATCAGCTCTTTGCAGATTTTTGTGATCAGTCCTTTATCATTAGTGTTGGGTGCAAAAATGTTCTCCCAGTTGGTGGGGTTTCTCTTTGTTTTTGTTATTGTCTCTTTTGCTGTGCAAAAGCTCTTTAATTTGATGTAGTCCCAGCTGTTTATCTTTGCCTTCACTATCACTGCTTTGGGTGATGTGTCTGTAAAGATGTCTTTGATGTGCAAATCACGTAGTGTTTCGCCTATATTTCCTTCTATATATTTTATGGTTTCTGGTCTTATGTCTAGTTCTTTAATCCATTTTGAGTTGATTTTTGTGTATGGTGTGAGGTGGTGGTCAAGCTTCATTCTTTTGCATGTAGCGACCCAGTTTTCCCAGCACCATTTATTGAACAAACTTTCTTTGCTCCAATGCATATTCTTTGCTCCTTTGTCAAAGATTAGTTGACCATAAATCTGTGGGTTTATTTCTGGATTTTCTATTCGATTCCATTGGTCTGTATGTCTGTTCTTGTTCCAATACCATGCAGTTTTGATGATTATGGCTTTGTAGTATAGTTTGAAGTCTGGGAGTCTGATGCCTCCATTCCCTTCTTTTTTTTTCAGGAGAGCTTTGGCTATTCGGGGTTTTTGGTGATTCCATATGAATTTCATCAATAATTGTTCTATTTCTTTGAAGAATGACATTGAAATTTTGATTGGAATAGCATTGAATCTGTATATTGCTTTTGGTAGGATGGCCATTTTAATAATGTTTATTCTTCCAATCCATGAGCAGGGGATGTCTCTCCATTTCTTTGTGTCTTCTTCTATTTCTTTTAACAGTGTTTTATAGTTTTCTTTGTATAGGTCCTTTACCTCTTTTGTTAGATTTATTCCCAAATATTTGATTCTTTTTGTTTCAATAACAAAAGGGATGGTCTTTTTGATTTCTTCTTCTTCAGATTTATTGTTTGTGTATAGGAAGGCTACTGACTTTTGCGTGTTGATTTTGTATCCTGCCACTTTACTGAACTGATTGATGAGTTGAATTAGCTTTTCTGTGGAGTTTTTGGGGTTCTCTATGTATAATATCATATCGTCTGCAAATAGTGATAGTTTGACTTCTTCTTTTCCTATTTGGATTCCTTGGATGTCTTTCTCTTGTCTTATTGCCCTGGCTAGGACTTCCAGTATTATATTGAAAAGCAATGGTGAGAGTGGACATCCTTGTCTTGTTCCAGATCTTAATGGAATTGCTTTCAGCTTTTCACCATTGAGAA